TTCTGCCACCAAGCCACATCCCCAGCCCTTTTTATATTTTTATTTTTACTTTTGTTTTGCTTGGATAGGATAGGGTCTCACTCAATAGACCTGGTTGGCCTAGAATTCACTATGTACGGTGGGCTGACCTTGAACTCACAGAGATACCCCTGCCTCTGCCTCCCTAGGCTCTGTGTGTGCCATCACACCTGGCCCTTTTTATTTTTTTATCTTGAGACATCCTCTCACTATGTAGCTCAGGTTGGTCCAGGGCTCACTCCCACTTTGACCTCCTGCACGCTGGAATGGCAGATGTAGGCCATCAGACCCTGTTGTTTTTGTATTGGGAAAACTGAGGCACAAGAATTCATGTCGTTGATCATCACTTATTAATTAGAAGAGCCAAATTTCATGACACCTGCCCATCCCATCCTATTTCCATTACCTAGGTTGAACATCCTATCTCCCAAATCCAAAATCTAAAAGTTTTGAACACCAACATACCTACCAGCTTTCAATGTGAGAGCATGTGTTAGTTACTTTCTCACTGCTATGACAAACCCACATGGCAAAGAAACTTAAGGGGCTGGGAGACAGCTTACTGAGGAAGGGTCTCACTATATAAACTGAGTTTCATGCCCAGCAACCACATTTTAAAAAGCCAGATGTGATGCCCAGCAACCACATTTTAAAAAGCCAGATGTTGCCATGGGTGTCTGTAACCCCAACATTGGGGAGGCAGAGGCAAGCAGATCTCCAGGGCTTGATGGTCATCAGCCTAGCTCAACTGAAGAGCCCCAGGTCCTGATGAGAGACCCTGTCTCGAAATAGCAAAGCTCCTGAGAAGCAACACCAGAGGCTGACCTGGAAAACACACCAAACCACACACACACACACACACACACACACACACACACACACACACACACACACACACACACACACACACACGAGAAAGGAAGGGTTTATTTTGACAACTTATTAGGGAGGCTGCAGTCCATCATGACAGGGAAGAGATGGTAAGGGAGTGTGAGGCAGCTGGTCACATTGCATCTGTGCTAGGGAGCAGAGAGAGATGGAAGAGTCTGCTCATCAGGCTTTTCAGGACCCCCCGCCTTGACTTTCAGCCAATCTTAGACTTCACTTTCTTCAGTTAAACCTTCCTGGAAGCACCCTTACAGTAATGCGCAGAGATGTGCTTGTCCTAGTAACTCCAAATCCAGTCAAGTTTGCCTCTTTTGATGGGCGCTACATACCTGGTGCAAGATTTCCAAGTCCTAAAACGTCCAAAATGTGAAATATTTTTGATCCCGCATGTTTTTTGGAAAATGATATTCACCCTTACTTACATGACAGCATTCAGAGACTGAGAGTGGAAGAGTCCCCCAGAGAGAGGAAGAGGACTCATAGGCCCATGGAGTGGGAGCCACCTGACTCAGGAGAAAGAAACAGGACCCCATGTCAGCACCTGTGGTGGCAGCTGGGCTCTGATGACATTGCCTTCTGCTGATTGTGCTCTTGAGAAGAGAGCCGGTCCCCCTGAGAGTTCAGGACACTGGCTGCCAGGAACTGGAGCTTTCCACTCTTTCCTAGCTCTTAGCTGCAGATCAGATCCCAACAGATGGGCCCTGGCACATGAGACCTCCTGCAAACCTGGGATGAGATGGGAGAGAGAGGGCTGCTGTGGCCGGAAGTCAAGGGTGCCTGTCTGTGGCCCCCGCAGCATCTGAGCTGTGTCTCTGTCCCCACAGTGAATGGATACCACGCATCAGGGACCCCGGCGCACCCTCCAGAGACTGCCCACATGAGTCTCCGAAAATCCACCGGTGATTCCCAGGTAAGGGGCTGCCAAGGGAGGTAGGGGCAGCTGAGTGTTTAGCTCAGGAAGGATAGAGTTGGGAGTCAGGGACTGTGGCCCTTTTCTGCCATGAGTGGAAAGTATCCCTGGGTTGCCCTAACAGTTCTTGATGAGGGACGGGTTTGCAGAATTGCAGTTCATTGGCGTTCTAGAAATCGAGGGAAATTTGGAACAGGAGATAACGGATTATAATCATCAGGGCAGAGAGATCCACTCTGCTAGCTACAAATCCAATAGAGTCCAGATTTCCTGTCAAGTTAGCAATGTGAGCCAGCCAGGCCATTGTCCTTGTAGTCCTCTGTTGTGCCCATCCTCAGTCACCCGGAAAGGAATTTAGGAAAATGTGACCATCTCATTCTCTAACACGGCATAAAAATTGCTATAGGATGAAAAGAATTGTTCATTTTTGAGTCAGGGTCTTATGTAGCCCAGGTTGCACCCAAGATTTTGAACCTCCTGCCTCCAGCTTCCAAGTGTTGAGAGCACACGCATGTACCACCATACCCAGCTGAAAATTTGTTTTAAGATTCCCAAACTGCTGTCTCATTCGCCATCCAAATTGACATGTGTGGCATCATGAGATGAGTGTCACTAGCACTCTCATGAGCATGGGACCACAGAGGAGCAAGCTCATGAGACTGAATCAAGGGTCATAGTAGACCCAATAAAAATATTTTGATTTCCTTATTTGCAAGAAGCTGCATCTAAAGGGGGGAATAGTCTCCTCACAAATTATGAGTTTCTTGAGGAAACTTCCAAGCCCTGTCATACTTTCTCAGTAGTCAGTATGGCCACCTACAGAGGTGATGGTGATCATGACTGATGGTCATGGTGGTGATACTGCTGAGAACGACAGCTGTCTATGCTGTGGGCTCTGGGTGGTCACTGAAGGAAAGACCCTGTGCTCTGTGAATGACATCAGCTAAGATGTGACAGCCAGCTGCAATGAAGCAAAGGGTGTTGAGTTTGGAAACTTAGTAAGTTGTCCTCTCAGGGGGCTGAGCGTTGGTTGAGCCCAGCTCAACCAACAGTTTGCTGTCAGTAAACTGTGACAGCAAAAAACTCCAGGCTCCATGTGAGGCAGGCCTTTCAAGTCTCCTGCCTCTTGGTTGGGATCTGATGTGAGCAGGGTGGCATTCCCAGCCAGCCCCCAGATGCCACTGGAGACCACGTCTGGCTAGTTAATAGTACAGAGGGCTGTGTCTGACCCCCTCACACCACTTGTCATGAATCAACCCTGACTTTGCATGTCCTATTGACTCACCAATAGCCTTCTCCATGAGTCGATCAGTGTGTTGGAAGGGAAAAGGGCTTGTCATCTGACTTGATGCACACACATTCATACACACGAAGACCTGAGCCTATCCTGCTGCAGTTGAACCGCAATAAAACCATGTTGCTACCCCAGCACCATGAGGAAGGACACTGGAAACAGCTCCCCATTTTTCCTTCCCTACTGAGATGTGACCCCCCAGCCTTCAGAAGTACTGTGAGGTTCCTACTCAACCATATAAAACATGCATACTTCTGGGGCAGCTTAGAATCTAGAAGCAGATGTAACAGTGTGCTGTAGGTCTTGGACAGAGGGATTTCTCCTCCTATAACTGCTCTTGAAGAATATTCAGATATTTGTATATATCCTGATTTATATGTAAGGCCATCCATACAAGCATTATTTATACCCCTGGAACACTGGACCCAATCTCACTGTCTAACAACAGGAGATAAGCAAAATGGCTTCTAATGCTGGATGTATAGCCAGTTGGTGGTAATACACAGCCAATAAAAAACATCCCCTGAAGAAAATGTCATGACTTGGGAAATGCTTCCAACTTAAACCAAGTGGGAGGGCTGGAGAGATGAGCCAGTGACTAAGCGTGTACTGTCCTTCCAGAGGACCGGAGTTCAATTCCAAGCACCCATATCAGGCAGCTCACCATAGCCTGTAACTCCAGCATCTAGAGTTACTAGAGTCTAGCTCCAAGGGATGGCACCCTCTTCTTACCTCCATGAGAACCTGTACTCATGTGTGCATGTGTACGCCATGTGTGTGCATGTATGTGTGCATATATGTGTGCCATGTGTATGCATGTGTGTGCATATGTGTGTACATGTCTGTGCTTGTGTGTGAATGTATGTGCGTGTGGTATGTTTGTGTGCCATGTGTATATGTATGTAC